CGACAACGACACGCTCGTCCTCGCGGTCCACGCGAACGGCGACGCGGACGCCGGCGCCGCGCGCGCCGCGTCGCCCCTCGCCTGCCTCGCGCGCGCCGCGCCGCCGCCCGTCGCCGCGCCCTTCGTCATCTGAAGCGGCGCGGCGCGCGCGGCGCCTCCCCCCTCCCCGACCCCGCGCGCCCCAAGAGCGTAGAGCAAAGCAGCAAAGGAGCGCGTCGAACCGCCTTCGCGGAAACTTCGGCGACGTCGCCGAAGCGGCGCCCGGGCCCAGTCGGATGGCCGGCGTCATGGAGGACGGGCACTTCTCTCGACCTTGTAGGCCTCCTTCACTCGAGTCCTTGCCCAAGGACTTGTCTCCGCCTAGGACGCCTCCTAGGCTAGAGCCACAAAGTCGCCAAAAATCTGCTGTGGCAGAGCGTGATCTGCTTGTAGAGCTCGTCCGCCTCCGCCAACTCCAATCTCGTCGCCAGACGCGAGCGCGGAGGGCGATGCGTCGGCTCCATCTCCTCGTTTGCCTCGTGGGGGCCGCCATCGTCCTGTTTCACATGCTCACTCAGCGACGGGCACCCATCGCCGTGGCGCCATCGGACGGCTCCGCGACGTCGCGGAAGACCTCCGCGCCGAAAGCGATCGACCCGAAATGCGCCGAGCTCGAGCGCCGCTTCGACGACGCGGTCGGCGCCGCGCGGCGCGAGCATGCGGAGCGGGCGTGGGCGAACAAGAGGCCGGACTGCCCGCGGGAGCGGCGGAGCTGGCGCCAGCAGGGGCTGAGCTTCCAGGTGGTCGGGACGCCCTGCCAGCCCTGGTGGAGGCAAGATGCCATCGCGATCGTCGACGCGCTCGCGTCGAAGACGGACGTCGCGGTCAGTGTCGCTCCGTAGGTGCCTACGTAGGCGCCTACGAGGCTACGTAGCCTCTATGACCTACGCGCCCTCGCAGGTCGCGGTCGAGTGGGGCTCAGGGAGCTCGTCGTTCTGGCTCGCGGAGCGCGTCGGCCGCCTCCACGCCGTCGAAAACGACAAAAAGTGGGCTGAACGCATGCGACGCGACCTGAACCGGCTCTTCGGGAACGCCCGGGTTCACGTCGCCGACACGAAAGAGGAGCGCCGCCAGACGTGCAGCAGAGACGGCTGCGCGAAGGCCGAGTGGGACGCCTTGGACGAGCTCCGGCGGGCGGCGTACGCGAACGTGACCCTCTCCCGCGGCGACGGCTCCGTCGACACCGTCGCGGACCTCGTCGTCGACGACGGGCGCATGCGCTTCGAGGTCATGAAACGCGCGCTCCGCCTCCTCAAGCCCGAGGGCGGCGTCCTCGTCCTCGACAACTCGAATCGCTACACCCGCGACTTCAGGCCGGACTTCAATCTCCCGGACCTCGTCCCGCGGCACTGGCTCCGCTACACGTCGCCGAAAACGTGGCCCGACGACGGCTCGCTGAGTCCGGAGGACCGGAGGACCGCGAACCTCTGGATCCAGCGAGATTTTGTCGTGACGACCGTGTGGATGTCGCGCCCCGCGCATTGCGCGCCGCGCGAGGCGCCGACGCTCCTCGGCCCCGGCGCGGCGGGCGCCGCCGAGGCGGCGGCGCTCCCGATCCGCGCCGCGGTATCGGATCGCGCACTGTTTCCCCACGCCGCCCTCGACGGCCGGCGGGCCCGCGGCGGCCCGCGGCGCTCCCCGCCCCGAACCCCCCGCGTCTTCAAGGCGGTCCGCGCCGCCGGGGGTACCTTATAGTCGCGATGTTCGAGAGGCGGGCGCCAGGCCTGCCCGGGTGACCCGGGCTCAAGTTGCACAATTATTATGTTCAAGGGGCTCCCCTGTGCGATGGAGCAGCCCTGATGTTGCGAGTGCTCGCACTCGCAGCGTGCCTCTGGCGCAGCGCGCTGCCAGAACCTACGGAGGATCGCTGCGCCGCGCCGGAGCCGACCGTCGCGTCGGAGCCATCATCCGGCGTGCACCACCTCTTCGCGACGACGATCTACGTGGCGGACACGCGGCTCCCGCCGGCCGTCCTCGCGGAGGCCGGCCGCGTCGTGCTCGAGCGCCACGACGCCTGGCTCGCGTCGCCGGACGCGCCGGCGCGCGCCGCGGAGGCGAACGACGCGTTCTTCGACGCGCAGGCCGCGTGGACGCGCGGCTGGCTCGCGGCGTACGGCGCCTGCGGCGGGGCCGCGGCGGACTGCGAGGCCGTCGCCGCGGCGGCGAACGGCACCTGGGCCGCGAGCCTGCCCTCGGAGAGCGCGGCCTTTTCGGCGATCTGGGCCGCGGTCGGCGCGCACGCGCGGCGCTTCGTCGCGGCCGCGGGCTTCGCCGGCGTCGACCTGCGTGCAAATCAAATCTTCAACCCGACTTCAATGTGCGCGTATTCGACCGATTTGACACAAGCTCCTCTGTTGTGCTTCGAGAACTCGATGTGAGCAATCGATCCGTCCAAACATCAGCCGAATCGACTTCGAATTGACCGAGCTAGAGAATTTCAAAGTTTGGTCGGGACGTCCCAAACCAGTGGTGGATTTCCACACAGGCGTCGACGACGCCATGCTCGGCGACCCGCGCGGGAGCGGCGAGTACTGGTTCTCGGTGCAGCGCGACGCGTCGCGCCACGCGCCCCACTACCACCCGGCCTGCGCGCTCTCGGGCACGCTCTACCTCCGCGCGCCGGAGGACGCGGGCCGCCTCCGCTTCCAGGACCCGCGGCGCCTCGGCGGCCTCGCGGCGCTCCTGCGCGAGGGCTGGGACGACGACCTCGCGGCCGTCACGGACGAGGCGCTCTTCGACGACGAGGTCGGCCTCGCGCCGCGCGCGGGCGCCGTCGTCCTCTTCCCGCCGTGGGTCAAGCACCACGTCGAGGCGACGCCGTCGCCGGAGCCCCGCGTGAGCCTGTCGTTCAACCTCGCCGGCCGCTGGGGCGCGACGCTGCGCGCGACGGCGGACGGCGCCGCGGCGGCGCGCGCGGGGCTCGCGGCGGACGCGCCCGAGGGCCCGCCGGACTTCTCCGCGTGCAAGGCGCGGGCCCTCGCCGGCGCCTGCGTCGGCGACCCGGACGCCATGCTCCGCGCCTGCGCCGCGGTCTGCGAGATCTACATGCTCGCGCGCGACGTCGAGGGCGGCGACAAGCTGCCGGGCTAGTTCATTGTTACTGGAGCTTCGCGAGCGCCGCGTCGAGCCAGCGGTCGATGACGGCCTCGCTGCCGTACCACCGCTCCGTGGGCAGGGCGGTGCCCGCCTCGTTGATGCTGTGGAGCACGTCGTCGAGCGTGAGCTGCGTGGCGCCCTCGAGGTGCGCGCAGGCCACGGGGATGACGCCGTCGCCCGTCGCGGCGCCGTCGCCGCCGAGGGCCACGTAGTTCGTGTAGGCGACCCGCGCCGCCGACCCCTCGCCCCGCCTCGCGTACAGCTCGTCGGCCTCCGTGGGCCCCGCCAGGAGCTCCCGCGACGGCAGGAGCGGGTCGTAGTCGCCGGGCGGCTCCCGGCTGCCCGCGATCGCGGACCCGGCGACGGTCACGTAGGCGACGCCGTCGAGGAACGCGCCGGGCAGGTTCACGTCGCAGTAGGCGAGCGCGCCCCGCGTCGCGCAGGGCGGCGAGCCCTCCGGCGGCGGGAAGTGCGGCGCGCCGAGCGTCACGAGCCCGCGGACGCGGTCCCGCGCGGGCCACGCGCCGCCGTCGCCGAGCGTCGCGCGCGCGAGCCAGCCGCCCGCGGAGTGGCCGAGCACGAGCGCCCGGCCGCTCCGCGCGCACGCCGCGTCGATGGTCTCCCGCGCGCGGGCGACGTACCAGCCGTAGGCGAGGCCGTCGGGCCGCTGGCTGCACGACCAGAACGCCGGGTCGGCGAGGCCGCCGGCGACGCGGATCCACTCCCAGCGCGGCAGCGGCACGATCGAGACGTCGTCGAAGCCGCGGCGCCGCAGCGCCGCGCAGAGGCCCTTCTCCTCGGGCTGACCCAGCGGCGTGACGTAGTCGACGTCGGCGTTGCCGAAGCCCGGGAGGATGACGACCGGCGGCCTGATGAGACCGCTGCAGGCCGCCGCCAGCGACGCGAGCAGTAGAGCGCGCATCGCGTCGCACGGCAGCCGGTGGCACCGCGTCGTCGCTGGCAGCGGTGGCGGTGGCGGTGGCGGCGGCTCGCGACAGAGATGCAGCCGGTGGCAGCGCGTCGTCGCTGGCAGCGGTGGTGGTGGCGGCTCGCGACAGAGATGCAGCCGGTGGCAGCGCGTCTCGCCGGCGCGGCCGCAGTCGTGCACGCGCGGACCGAGATGCACTCGAGAGAGCCTGTTCAACGTTTTGATTGCACTTCAAGCGCGGGGGCTGCCCACGATGTGGAACGCCATCATGGCGATCGCCGCGGCGCTCGGCGTCGCCTGCGCGCAGGTGGACCTCGACGGCGTGGACCTCGTGAAAATGCAGCGGTCGCTCAACGGCATGACACACTTCCGCGACGCGCCCGTGGTGCGGGACGTCTTCGCAAGAGACGTGCAGTGCTACGACCTGCTCTTCCGGAACAACGCGGGGCGGAGCATGTTCGGCTGGGTGACGCTGGCGAACGAGAAGCTCATGGAGGACGACTGGAGCTGCGCGCTGACGCTCATGGTGCAGCTGCACCGCGAGACGCGGCGCGCGCGCGACGCCGCGCGGCGCGAGAACGGCTCCGCGTCGACGGAGGCCGCGTGGCACTACGTCAACGCGTCCTTCAGCCTGGCCATGCTCTACACGAACCCCGGCGTCGTGACGACGCTGAGCGACGAGTCGCCCGTGCACGTCGCGCGCGGCGAGAAGCTGCTCTGGCACGTGCTCGAGGTCGTCGCGGCGGACGGCCTCCTGGGCGAGGACGACGCGAGCGTGCGCTACATGGTCGACGTCGCGGAGAACGTCTTCGCGGGCGCGGACAAGGCGCGCGCGCTGACGCCCGTGCGCGAGGACGGCGCGGCGAGTTACGTCGAGCGGCCCGCGTACTGGGGCGAGGCGGACGAGTTCGCGGACTGCGGCGACCCGATTTCGACGGCGCGCGTCGGGATGCTCTACGCGCTCTTCGGGGACCACCTCCTCGCCGAGAATTTGTTAGAGGCGGCCTGCGGCGGCTGCCCCGGGACCGCGGGCGCCGCGTCGGAGGCGGACGCGTGCGCGCTCCGGGACCTCGTGGCCCTCCGCGGCGCCCTCGCGACGCGCTGGGTCGACGACTCCGGCGGGCCGACGCCCTGGGAGCCGCGGCGGGCGCCGCGCGACGGCGACGCGACCTGGGCGCTCGGCCCGCGCGCGGCGGCCGAGGACGCGTGCCGCGCGGACGCCGCGTGCGCCGCTAAGACGCGGCCGCCGACGACGGGCGTCTTCCTCCTCCGGTCCCTGGCGGCGCGGCGGCCCTACGTCGACGCCCACCCGGCCCTCGCGTTCTCGCTCCGCGCCGCGGCGCGCCGCGACGCGCGGCTCGCGGACACCGCGCGGCTCCACGTGCTCGTCCACCACGGCGACGTCGCCGCGGCGCGCGACGCCTGGGTCGCCCGCCTCGGGCATAGCGCGGCCCACCTCCTCGGCGGCGTCCACCTCGCGCGCTTCGGCGTCGCGCCGCGGCGGTCTGTGTGGAATTCGACCGCTGGTTTGGGTGGTCCTGACCAAACTTCAGCACTCTCGAGCTCGGTCACATCGAAGTCGATTCGGCTGATCTTTGGGCGGATCGATTGCTCTCGTCGAGTTCTCGAAGCACGGCCGAAGAGCTTGCGTCGAAATTGTCGCGTATGCTCACATTGAAGTCGCGTTGAAGATTTGAATTCCACGCAGGCGGCGGTCGACGGACCTCAACTACCTCCGGAAGATCTTCACGGCCGTGGCCATCTCGCGGCGCCGGCGCTACGATACCTTGGTGTCCCTCGACGACGACATCCTCCTCGCGCCGCCGGCCTACCTCGCCCTGCTCCAGCACGCGCCCTTCGGCGTCCGCGGCGCGGACGCGCCGTGCGCGATGGTCACGCCGACGGTGTCGACGGGCATCCCGACCGCGGAGCTCTTCGCCGCGGACTTTCTGCCCGCGGCGTCGGCGGCGGCCCTGGAGGCGTGCTACGTCGAGACGATCCGGCGCTGGCCGCGGCTCTTCGGCGACCCGGACTTCTCGCTCGCGGACGAGACGCTCGAGCGCCTCGAGGGGCCCTGGCCGTCGGCCGAGGCCTGGGACCCGGCCTGGTGGCGCGCGAAGCTCTGGGACAAGGCGGCCAACTTCCTCTACGAGAACGTGCGGAGCTACGGCCTCGGCGTGCACCCCGTGCGCGTCAACGAGACGTGCACGGAGCTCGCGTTCGCGGCGACGCTCCCGCTCATCCCTGTGTGGAAACCAAATCTTCAACCAGACTTCAATGTGCGCGTAATCGAACGGTTTGGACCAGACTCTTCGACTACGCCTCAAGAACTCGACGAGAGCAATCGATTCGTCCAAAAATCAGCCGAATCGACTTTGAATTGGCCGAGATAGAGAGTTCTGAAGTTTGATGGGGACCCCCAGACCAGGTTGATTTCCACACAGGCTCATCCCGGCCCACTTCGGCGCGTCGGCGGCCGACGACCGCCTCGCCCTCGCCAAAGCGCGCCTCGAGGTCGGCGGCCCCCGGGCCTACCCCTACCTGGCCAACTCCGTCTGGGCGACGTCGCCCGCGCGCCTCGTCGACGCGCTCCTCCGCGTGGACCTCGCCACGGGCGGCCACCCCTTCGACGAGGCCGCCATGTCGACGCTCTTCCTCCACGAGCGCAACGAGAGCTTGTGCGTGCTGCGCCACGCGTTCGCGGTCCACCCGCACTACGGCGGCTCGCGCTTCGCGAACCGGAGCGACTTCGAGGCGCGGCTCCACGCGGCGGCCTACGGCGCGCTCCTCCTGCGGGAGAGCGTCGGCGACGACCACGGGGCCCTCCTAACTTAGGCCGGGCAGGCTGCAGGGCGCGCGGTCCCACTGGGACACGACGCCGCGCCGCCGCCGCCAGCCGCCCCGCGCCATCGTCGCGTCGCCGCGCACCTTGAGCTTCGCCGTCGCCTCGTCGGCGCACTTCTCGCCGATCTTCGCGACGACGCCCGCGTCCATCGCCGACGCGTTGTAGAGCGTCACCGCCGCGCCCGAGTAGCGGCCGACGGTGAATCCCTCCCGCGCCTCGAAGCGGCCGAGCGCGCGCTTGTGGCCCGCCTTGAGCCAGACCACGAATTCCAGCTTCCCGACGTCGACGGCGTAGGGGTTTGCGTTGTGGAAGTTCGCGACGATCGTGCCCGCGCGCGCGTTCACGACGTTGTGCTTCACGTTGACGTTCGGCTTGTTCAAGATGCCGTAGACGCAGGCGAGCGCGACGCCGGCGATCACCGCGCAGCAGATGAAGAGGCCGCAGCAGGCCGTCGCGAGGCAGCCCCGGCAGCAGCGGCGCTCCTCGCGCACGGGCGGGACCACGCGCACCGCGGGCTCCTCGACGGTCAGCACCTGCGCCTCGCCGACGACGGGGTTCGCGACGGGCTCCTCGCCGGGCAGGGCGTGGTAGTCGTCGGGCTTGACCGACGACGGCTTGAGCATCGTTCCGACGTCGACGACGGAGCTGCCCAATTGGCCAATCGCCCGAGAGCGCGGCCCGACTGCGTTCGACAACGGAGCTGCCCAATTTCTAAATTGGCCAATCGCCCCCGATGTTCGGCTGCACCATGCTTCACCATGCAGCAAAGCGAAACTCGAGCAATCAAGCCGCCGGCGACTCGGACTCAAACCAAGCCCGAGCAATCGACGCCGGCCCCGCTTCGCGACGTCCGCGCGCTGCTTCGCCCGTTCTCGGAGCGCGTAGGCGCCCGGGTCGTCCGCCAGCGATTTCTGCAGCCGCACCAATTCCAGCGCTTCGTCGCGCGCGTACGGCACGAAGTGGACGTAGGCGCCTCGATCGCGCCTAGGCCCTAGGGCCTCGCCCCCCCCGGTCCGCGCCGCGTCCCGTCGCCCGCGCCCTGTGCGCGCGCGTTCCCGCCGCCGCCATGCCCGTGAAGCAGCGGCGCTGCGGCGTCTGCGCCGGGTGCACGGCCGTCGAGTGCGGCGTCTGCAAGTACTGCCTCGACATGAAGAAGCGCGGCGGGTCGGGGACGATCCGCCAGGCCTGCAAGGAGCGCAAGTGCCAGCAGGTGACGACCGCGGGCGGCGGCCCGCGGGTGCCGCGCCTGCCCAAGGCGTCCGGCAAGGCGACGTTCGCGCGCGGCAACACGCGGTCGGGCATGGAGCAGCAGGGCGGCGGGTCCGCGGGCCAGCAGAGCGCGCAGCAGGCCCTCGCCGAGGCCGCCGAGGCGGCGCGCAGCGCCGAGGCCGCGGCGGCGAAGCGGTCCGTGACGATCGACGGCGAGACCTTCGCGCCCGCGGACCTCTACCGGCTCTGCGAGTCCGTCGGCGACGACCCGGGCCTCGACGGCGACGGCGCCGTGGACTGGGCCGGCGTCGCGTCGCGCCTCGAGGCGCGCGACGCCGCCCGCGACGCGCTCGCGGCCGCGCGGCGCGCGCACGCCAAGCGCGAGGACGAGGCGCGCGCCGACGCGACGAAGAAGGCGAGCCTCCTCGCGCGCGTCGGCGGCGCGAACAAGGCCGACGCGGCGGCGCGCTTCGCGGAGCGCGACGCCGCCCGCGCCGCCGAGGCCGACGCCTCGGCGGCCAAGTGCGCCGCCGCGCTCGACGCGGCGCACGCGGGCGCCGGCGCGGGCCGGTGGACGGCCGCGCGGTGCCGCGCGCTCTGGCGCTGGGTCGCGTACGCGGCGCCGCCGCCGGCGACGGCGCCGCCGCCGGACGGCGCCCAGAGCGACGACGACGA